GTGTGTGTGTGTGTGTGTGTGTGTGTGTGTGTGTGTGTGTGTGTGTGTGTGTGTGTGCGCGCGCTTCACACGCATATTCGAAGCAAATTCAGTTCACGAGCTTTTCGCCACTTTTGTCGTAAAAGCATGGCGACGGCGGCGGCAGCGATGGCGGCAGCTTTCCGTTGACCTAAATCACGTCGGTGCTTTACGTCGGGACTCACGCCTCCGAACAACACACAGCTCGCCTCTGTTCGTCTGCCGATCTCATGAGCTTGTTGCGCGCCTTTCCCCTCGCAACCTCTTAATTCTCGGGGCGCTCACTCCTTCGCGCATACGCGCGCCCGGATTGATTCTCACTAGTCCACTTGTGCTCCGTCGCACGTTATTTCCCGAAGAATGCCACACGAATATAGTTCAGCGCTGCAACCGCGCAGCAGACGAACTGGCGAACGTAATGAGCAGCATTCAGCGTGTGCCTGCTGCCCATATTAATAACAAGTCGTCTAATTTCACAGTTATACACGTCTGCATGCAGACACAACTAACGTGATATAGACCAGTGACGTTGACGGGCGTGCACCGGGGGGGGGGGGGTTCGTGTCGACGTGTTACACCCAACGCTACGATCATAATTAGATGCTTAGTTGGCGTTCGCCGCCGCTGCTCGCACGCCTCGTAGTTATACCGCGGAGTAGCGGACGTACACACGGCGCAACGTGTGCCTAGTCTGTTAGCTACGGCGTGCCGTAGTCTGTTATGCTAGGTTTACATTATGTTCCCGGCGGCCACGACAGCCCCGTTTGCCCGAAACGTAGTGCGCCGTGTGATTTTGGCCATTTTTTCTCTGTATTCAAGTTTTGTTACAGTTTGAGTTAGGTCTTGCTAAGTTTTCTCACGGTCTATTACGGTATCCGTGACGGGCCGTGGGGGGGAAAGGGCTCCAAAGGGGGAGAGGGAAAGGAGGCGCCAAGGCGCACTACGGTTCGGCCCGGGGACTACCACGGATGCCAGTACGTTCTCTCCCGGCCCGTCACGTTCTGATGGGGTCCCTCACGTTTCTCACGTTCTGCTCAAGGTCTGACACGTTTTTCACGTTCTGTCAAGGCTTTCTACGGATGAAACGTGGACGCCGGGCAGCTTTGGAGCACGTTTGTGCCCACGGTATAAAAAGAAGGCCTCCCAAGCAATAGCAATCATTATATCCTGAGATTTCGATTGAATTCGAATGAAGCTCCCCTGCCTGGCCCAGCTTTTATAATATACTCCCTCCCAGACCGCGCCGTGTCAGACCGTAGTAGAACGCAACGCGCCGTAGCGCGCCGGGCCCGTAAACCGTCACATGCCGGGACGCGCCATGATTGAACGCGACGAAACGGCTACCATACACCCTAGCTTGCCGTGAGAACTGTGAGAAAACGTGGCAAAACGCGCAGCAACCGTGAAGCAACCGTGACAAAACGCTGTAGACGACCGCGACAAACCGCGACAAACACGTTCTTGCTGTATGAATCCGCTTACATCAACACCTTGCTGTATGAACCCGCTTACATCAACACCTTGCTGTATGATTCCACTTACATCAACACCTTGCTGTATGAACCCGCTTACATCAACACCTTGCTGTATGAACCCGCTTACATCAACACCTTGCTGTATGAACCCGCTTACATCAACACCTTTCTGTATGAAGCCGCTTACATCAACACCTTGTTGTATGAAGCCGCTTACATCAACACCTTATTGTATGAAGCCGCTTACATCAACAACTTGTTGTATGAAGCCGCTTACATCAACACCTTGCTGTATGATCCCACTTACATCAACACCTTGCTGTATGAACTCACTTACATCAATACCTTGCTGTATGAACTCACTTACATCAACACC